CCACACACCACACACACATCACACACACCACACACCACCAAACACCACACACAGCACACAGAACACACCCCCCACATACCCCACACACACCCCACACACACCACCCACCACACACATACCACACACACACCACACACCGCACACACCACACACACACCACACACAATTCACACACACCACAACACACAACACAACACACACAAAACACCACACAACAGACACCACACACCACACACACAGCACACACCCACACCACACAGCACAGACACACCAGACACACACCACACACACCTGCAACACCACACCACACACACCATACACATACCACACACACACCACACACACCTCAGACACTATACACACAGCAGCACACACACCACCACACATACCATACACATACACCACACCACACACACCTCACACACCATACATGCCAACCACCCACACACCACAACCACACACACCACACCATATACTCCACACACCTCACATACCACACAAACTACACACACCACACAACATACACCTCACACACACATCACACATAGCACATGCATACCACCTCACACAGGACACATACACTGCACACACCACACCACACACACTTCACATACAACACACAGAGCACACACACACCACACACACACAGCACACACACTGCACAATCACCACCATACACAAAAGCTCAGCCTTCACGCTGGAGATAAACAGCGGGCGAGCATGGCGGGCGAGCATGTCCCCTTCACCTGACGCCTGCTCTAACTCTCCCTACCCTGAACACTCATCTTTTTAAATATCAACTTTTAAAAACGCAAACTTTGAAACAGAAAATGCCCTTTGGGCCTCCCTTGGGGGAGCGGGAAGCCTGCCACATGCCCTCGCAGGAAGCTCTCACCTCCTGAGTGAGCCCCGCAGACAAAGCCTTGGGGTTAAAAGGTCAAGCCCTGGGCCCTGGGGGTTGAGTCAGAAAATCTCACTCTCGGGATCTGGCTGGAATGCGTGGGGTGGGTGGCCACCGTCCTCTGCTCGTCTTCGTCTTCGTGAGCGTGAAAGTGAATTCTGAACAGAAGCAACAGCCCCAGAAAGCGACAGTGAGTGAGACCAAGACTGCAGCCCCAAGGGTTCCGTGCAGAGCCGGGGGCAAGCCCAGGCCGGCCTCTGGGGTGCGGCCTGCGTCCCAACACCGAGACCATCCCGCTGAGCACGGGCCCACGCGGACGGCGTGAGCTCTCTGTTCCTACATCCATGCTCAGCGGCCCTGGGTCATCTCCACAGCCACGGCCACGGCCACGGCCACAGCCATGGCCACGGCCACAGCAGAGGCGAAGACAAATGGGCCCTAGCACAGCGCTGCTGTCAGGACACACGGCCCCCGTCATCTAAAAACTCTGAAATCAATTTCAGCAAAGTTGCTTTTGGACTAGTTCTTGGCGAGGCGACCTGGAGCCATGAGGAGGGGATCCCCTCTGAAAACGGATCCCATGATCCACGAGGCGCTAGACTGCCTCAGCACTCAGCCAGGAGAGCAGGGTGTGCTGCAAACAAGGAAGCCGCATAGATGGGGCACGGCAGAGGCAGCGTTCTCGTGACGGAAGCTTAGAGAGCCGCGCGCAAGAGCGCATCCCGCTCAGCCCACGCCCAAGGCCCCGCAGCGCCCCGGACAGCCTCCGTGCGGAGCCAGGCAAGGGCGCCTGGAGGCCACCTTCTCCCCACAGACTGCCGGACACTGACTCACTGCCCGTCCCATGCGTCCGGGAGACAGACAGACGCGGGCCGGGACCAGGCTCCTCGTGGGGACTCAGACACTGCCGCGCAGACGACCTGTTTCCGAGCCCCGGCTCGGCACTTGCCGGCTGAGGTCCCCGCGGCCTCACCTCCTCAGCACCCGCTCACTCTGCGGTTTAAGCGGCTTCTCCCCCGGTTCTGCCAGGAAGGAACATGTCCTGAAAACAACGGTTTCCTCTTGGAAGAGGCTTCTGCACGCTGCAGAAGAGGAAAGGGAAGCAAAGCTGCAAGCCCAGGGCCCCTGGGCACAACGTGAGCAGCACCTGCCTGGCTTCAGCTTGCTCCGCTCTGCAAGGAAGGGACACGCAAGCGCTGCAGTAATAACCCCTGAGGCCGGGCTCCCTGCAGGGGGCCTTCCAGCGCTGAGGAGGAGCAGACACCATTGCAGGCCAGAGGGGCCTGGATTCCCGGGGCTGGGTGCAGGCTCACGCACCCCTCCATGAGCCGGCCTGCTTGGGAGGAACTGACAGCTGTTTTCTCGAGGAGGAGGGAGAGGACCTTTCCCTGCTTGAGGATGACCAGATGTGACATTTGAGAGAAAATGAGCTACCTGGAGAGTGTGGCCCTGCAGAGCTGGGTGTGTCTCCAGCTACATGCACAGGGGCCGCCGGGAAGCTCGCCCCTGTGAAGACTCCTCAGGGACCCCCAAGAACAGTACAGGACACAGCCGCTCAGCAACCCCACTCTCTACCTGCCTGAGGGGCTGCAGCAGAGTCCAGACAGTCCTCGGGCCCCCCACAGCCAGGGAGGGGGGCACCGGCAGCCGGTCCCAGGTCTGCAAAGAGACCGAAGGTTAAGGGCAGCCCTGCGCTCTCAGTTCCTTCTTGCCAGAAAGGGTTTTACAGGTCACCAGAGAGACTCTGGTAACCTCTCCTCACAAAGAAGAAACAGCTACAACCTGCCGTGGTGGGGACGACGGAGCAGCTGCAGGCCGGGGGAGATCCAGTGGGCCACAGACTGCAGGCAGGAACCAGACGTGGAGGTGGGGCCGCTCCCCAGGTCCCCTAGGAGACAGGCGTGGAGGGGCTGGAGGGAGGGCCTGGAGCCTGGGCTGCGGCCCACCGTTGCCCTGAGGCCCCAGAGCAACAGCGTTCTCTGGCGCGCAGATCAGAGCCCAGATTTCTAAACTGAGGGGCTCTGAAGCCACCGCCCTGCTCCACGGCCCGTGTGGACAGGACAGCCTGGTTGGGTCCAGGGTGCGTGGGGTGGGGCCGTCTCGCTGACTCCTCACGGCGGCCCTAGGAGGTGACACGAGTGTCCTCCTTGCACAGACGAGAAGCATCTCGAGAGGTTAACACAGTTGGCGGACGGTAACGGAGCAGCCGCCATCTGCAGCCCCAAAGCGGTCACTTTCACACCAAATGCCTGGGACCTCCGTTCACCCAGACTGGGACACGGCCTGCTCCGGCTCCCCGCCACGTCCCCTCCCTCTCGCCCACGCCCTCTCCTCCGGGCCTCCTGGCCGCCTTCCTGGTGCCGGGCCTCCCCGAGTCCCAGCTTGCGTCACTGCATTGCGGCCGCCCGCTCCGCAGACCCCTGCAGACTCGCACCGCTCGGCAAGGACACCCCCCTCTCCCACACTCTCACCCGCTGCCCCTGCCCTCCCCTCTCTGGACACACACACACGGATCTGGCTGCTCGCTGTGGGCCCCCACAAGAACGCAGCTCCATGGGGGTCACCCCAGGGAGCGGGTCCTCCATGGTCGCAGCTGGAGTCCTGCCTCACAGCAGCTGGCCTGGCCGCGCAACCTCAGGCTCCTGAGGCCGACGCTGACCGGCCGTGGCCCTGACACAGAGGGGCTGCTGTCTCCTGCCCCCCGGGCCCGCACACACCCTGCTCTGGTATCAGTGTGACACTGCCAGTTTTACAAGTTTGTGCTTTTATCACAGTCGAGACATTTGGGGCAAGAGAAGAAACAAAAAGATGATTGTATTTTGCAAAGAGAGGAAAAAAGCCTTCAAAACGACCAATTGCCGGCTTACTGCTGGAATAGACAATTATTTCATTTCATGCCTCCAGCATCTTTGCGAAGCAGATAAAAATGGACTCATTAAAGGGATCACCAAAAGTCGTGTTAAGTCTGGCACTGAATCAGCCAGCAGGCTTTTCAAAGCGGAATTTCCAAGATGCCATCAATGCAGATCTCCGGGCGTGGAAGCAGCAGGAGCGAGCCGTGCCCAGGGAGACCGGGCGCCGCGCAAGCTCTAGGGTGAAACGACCTCTGCCTAGGAGCGCCCTCGGCCTCCCTCACACATAATCGCCATCGCGCCTGATGACCTCATTGGGAGGTTCATTTTGGGCACAGAAACACCGCGCATTCTGTGAAAGTCCTCTAAGCACGCGGGGCGGCCCAGTTTCAGGGTTTCGACCCGGACCCAGGGTTTCATCCGAGTTTTCTTTGATACGGTCACTCTGAACAATGTTCTACTTGTGGAAATTCCCACTGGCATGTGCCAGCTTTTGTTTGCTGGACTTTCTTCATTTTCCCTCCTTTCTTAATACATGGAACACGTCAAAGGGGCGCCTGAAGTCAGGCGGTCAAGCTCAAAGGGTAAAATACCGAAGCGATAAGAAGACATTCTTCTGGGGAAACTAACCCCCTGGTTTACAGCTCTGAGCCAATCCGTGCACCCCTCACCATCACAAGGCAAGAGGTGATAAAGTTTTACTGTGTCAACAAATACCTCACACGCTGCCAGTGAGTTCCCACCCCAACGGCGATGAAAGACTCCCACACTCATTGTGAGTTTCAGCTCCAGGCCTCCGCAGGGGAAGGTGAGAGAAATTCCCACCAGAGCAGAGGGGAGAGCAGAGGGGCGGGCCCCGGGCCCAGACGCCCTCCTCCACTGCAGCATGGAACGTGCCACTGTCTTTCCAGCTCTCCCTGTGCTAACTCTGCACTCGCCACAGATTTGGAACATTCCTCAGTAACAGATGTGTGCACAGCCCTTAGTGTTAACCACAAGCCCGTCTGATATTCTTTCACGTCACCGCTAACAGCCCATCACAGGACGCTCACGCCCCAAAATCATGCTAGCGGTTTATCTTCCAAAGAGCTTCTGAAAAGACTACAGGGGCCAAGGACATCCACAGGCACCATTGAGGTTCCTGGGCCAGCAAGAGGAAACGCCACTGACGTGTTGTGCTCCTGTGTGGGCGCCTGCGCACCAGCTGAGGTGGCGCCTCTGAACCATGAATCATCTTCCCAGAAAAGCTCCTTCTTAAAGAGCTTCATTCCTCACACCGGGTGGCTCCGAGGCAGAGGCGCCGCCCGCAAGCAGCACAGTCTCTGGACCCCGTGAGTGTCTTCACGTCATGCAACTTACCTTCTCATTCCACGCCCACAGTCCAATTCCAAGAAACGTTATTCCCAAAAACTGAAAGAAGAGAGAAAGCAGTGTGATTATAAGGGTTAAATGCCATGTTTTCACTAATACAAATGAAGTTTTTGGACATTGCTTTCGTCCTTTACCTGAGAAATAGTTTTCTCTAAAATCTGAGTAACAAATTGGCAACTGAGATTTGCCAAGCTGTGAGGTGCTTAAGAATACCCACATGGAGAACATTTTTGCACCCAACACTAACGATAAAGGACTGATCACAAAAATCTACAAAGAGCTGATGAGACTCAACAACAACAAAGAAAATAATCCAGTCCGAAAATGGGCAGAAGAGCTAAAAAGAAACTTCTCTGAAGAGGAAATGCAAATGGCCAACAGGCCTATGAAAAAATGTTCAACATCACTTGTCATCAGGGAAATGCAAATCAGAACTACCATGAGATACCATCTCACACCAGTGAGAATGGCACATATTAAAAAACCGAGCAACAACAAATGTTGGCGAGGGTGTGGAGAAAAAGGAACTCTTCTGCACTGTTGGTGGGAGTGCAAACTGGTCCAACCACTATGGAGAGCTGTGTGGAGATTTCTGGACCTACTAAACACAGACCTTCCATAGGATCCAGCGATTCCACTCGTAGGTATTTACCCAAAGGACACAGAAACATCCATTCCAAAGAGCACCTGCACCCCTATGTTTACAGCAGCACTGTTTACAATAGCTAAGCTTTGGAAACAACCCAAATGCCCAAAAATAGATGACTGGATCAAGAAGATGTGGTCCATCTACACCATGGAATATTACTCAGCATTCAAAAAAGATAGTTATGCAATTTGCAGCAACATGGATGGCGCTGGAAGGGATCATGCTCAGCGAAATAAGCCAGAAAGAAAAAGAAAAAAATATTGGATGGTCTCACTCATAGCAGGAATTTAGAAAACCTAAATAAGGGACCAGGAAAAATTATATGAGGACTATAACCAAGATGAACATGCATACATTGTGCAAAAATGAAAAATGATATAAAAAATATGTAAAATAAAATTAAAATGGTCAAAAAAAAAAAAAGAATACCCACGTGTACAAATGCCAGCCAGCCCACGACAACTGCTCATTCTCACGTGCCGTCAGGGAAACGCAAACCACAATGAGGTACGTGCTCACACGTGTGAGAATGGCCTGTCTCAAAAGTAACAGAAACAAGTGTGGGAAATGCTGGCAACCACGTGGACAGAAGGAACCCTTGCCCGCTGTTGGTGGGATGGAGACTGTGCAGTCTCAGTGTGGCACGGTACAGAGGTTTCCCAAAATGCCAAACCTGCCACATGACCCGGCAACCCACTCCGAGCTGTCCACCTGAGGGACATGAAACACTGACTCAAGGGACATGTGCACCCTGTGTTCACTGGGCACCAGCTACAACAGCCAAGGTTTGGAAACAATCTAAGTGCCCAAAGACAGGCGAGTGGATCAAGAAGATGTGGCACAGGGCCTCCCTGGTGGCACAAGGGGTTAAGCACAGCACTATGAAGCCATCTGCAGCCTCAGCAGCATGAGTTCCATCCCCAGCCAGCCAGGTTGCTACCCACAGGGCGCAGCAGGCCTCTCGACTCACCCGCTGCTCCCCTCAGCAGTGTGTTTCAGTGGATCCGCCTGTTCTGCTCCCCACTCTGTCTCTGGTGAATCCTCTCACCCCCCCCACACCTCTGGCCTGTACCCCAGCTCTTGTATGCATAAATTAATAAACATTGAAGAAGAAGAAGAAGAAGAAGAAGAAGAAGAAGAAGAAGAAGAAGAAGAAGAAGAAGAAGAAGAAGAAGAAGCAGCAGCAGCAGCAACAGCTATGGCACATAGACACAATGGAATACTACTCAGCCATGAAGATGGACGGACTCTTGCCATTGCAACAACATGGATGGGCCTGGAAGGGACGATGTTTAGCCAAAAAAGTCAGAAGGAGAAAGGCAACCCCCAATGGCCTCACTCCTATGTGGAATATAGAGAAAGAAAACAAAGGAACAGACAAAACTGAACCAGAACAAGCTAGAAATCTGACTGAGGACAGTGCGGAAGGAGTGACAGGGCAGAGGGACTGCATGGAGACTGGGTGTCTTGGTGGTGGGGGCAGGGACACACATCTGAGCAGGTGTGAGTACACCCGTGCTGTAAACCCATATTACTTCAATAAAATATATGATTAAAAAAATAAAGAGCATGTCAGTGTGCAAAGCTGCACTCCAAAACCGATGTACATGAAAAGTGTGTGACGTGGACAACGGCGCTGCTGCCTGTGGGGCGGGGCCAGGAGCTGGCACTTCCAGGCCGGGGTCACCGGGGACAAGGGGGGGCCTCTGTCTCCCACCACCCTCGGGGCTGGGCAAGCTCCTCCCTAAGACCCCCATCAGGACCAGCGGGACCCAGAGACGCTGCCTGGACTTGTGTGTGCGGAGAACTCCAGCATGCTGCAGTGGGGAGGCGCCCGAGTGCCGCCGGGTCCCCCCTCAGTGTGGGGGGCGGGGGAGGCAATGACATGAGTTGGAGGACAGGGGGGCGGCTGGGTCCCCAGGCGAGGCCAGCAGGGGGAGGTGAAGGGCGGGTAGAAGGGTGGGGTTGGGTGCTGTGCCAGCGGAGGCTTTGGGGAGGGGTGGGGATGTGGGGGGGGCAGGGGGTATATGGGGGGCACTGTGCTGGGGGCTGCGGGGTGGAGGCGCTGTACTGGGGCACTTTCCACTTTAGCCGGTTCTCACTGGGCTCCCTCTGCGGGGAGACACACATTTCCCCCCCATTTTACCGTGTCTGAAATTGGGATGCCATAAATGGCAGGTGTCTCCTTGGCTGCACCTCGGCGCTGGCCGCCTGCGAATGGGGCTGCTGTCCAGGGCCCCGCAAAGGTCCCAGGGGTCAGGCCAGGGGTGGCTCGCCCTGGGGAACAAGAGGGCGCAGCCACCTCCGAGCCCCCTTCCAAGCCCGAGCGAGGGAGGGCGCATGGGGAAGGGCCAGGAGGCTGTCGGAGGGGCTGGCGGCCAGGGGTCGCTCCACATGGGGGCTCCGCGAGGGGGCGGGGGGTCAAGGGGAGCCACGGCCGGCAGCAAGGGAACGCGCAGCCCCAGCCAGGCCTTCATTTGGTGACGGTCACGTCCCTTCTGCCCACGTTCGCGCTCCGAGGTGTGAAAGCGTTTGGCGAGAGTCCGGGTTCGGGGTTGCAGAGGGAAGCCGCGGCCGGGCCCCTGCCCTCCCTGCCCGGAGCTGGGGCACCCGTGGGCACCGGGGGGCACAAGCTGCAGCTGCTGTGGCTCGGCGGTTGCTACGGCTCCCAGGCCACGGCTCCGCAGGGCCTCGTGGCAGGTTCGCGCGGGCCCCGCAGACCCAGACGTGGGGCTCCTCGCCCACCGCAGAGACGCCCGCAGAGGCGGCTTCCTCGGGCGCTCCCTGCGCGCGGCATGGAGCTCAGGCGTGGGGGAGCCGCGTGGCCAGCGGGCCTGGCCGGCGAGGAAGGGGCTTCTCGCTGCCCGCGTCTCTGCATCCCGCCAGGGCGGCGCGGAGCGCTTGGGCAGGAGCTGACGGGAAGGCCGGGCCTGACCAGGGGGACCCGAAGCCCATCCGAGCAGGCGGCGCAGGCGGCCTCACGCGCATGCCTTCCCCCTGGCTTCCCCAGCGCGGCCGCCCGCTCTCCCTCGGCCCATGTGTTTTGTTTTAAAAGCGAGGTGTTCCGGCTCCAAATAATTAAACAGACAAGAGCCAAAAACTTGCGGCCGTGGCCGGGGCGCGAGGGACGCGGCGTTCCCTGTCCCCAGCCGACGGGCCTCCTGAACCCCGGGGAGCGGGGCGGCTCGTCGGCGCTCGCCCCTCCGCCGCAGACACGAGCGGGCTCTTGTCCCCGCCTGTCAACAGCCCCAGCCGGTCTCCCCCCCAAACATGTGAAACACGCTCGATGTGCTCCCGCGAGCAGCGTGACCGCCAGGATGCGCCGGCGCCAAGTCACCCAGCTGCCCACCCAGCTGCCGCGCCCCGGGGACTGGCGAAACTGCCCGAAGCCGCGGCTCCGGCTCCGGGGCTCCTGCCGTGCACTTAGCCCAAACTTAGCTACGCCAGCAAGTGTGACAAACACACCAGATTTTAAAGACTTAGTAGGAATAAAGAGAACATAAGATACGTCCTTAGCAGCTGTCTTACGATGGGCTGCGTGTTGAAATAATTCGGATAGGCTGGGTTAAACAAGACATGATTAAAACTAACGTCGCTGATTTCATCTTCCCTTTTACACAGCGACAGGGCGTGGAGGTGACAGGCTGACCTGCATTCCACTCCCCTGCACAGCACCCCACAGCCGTCCATGCCGCAGACACTATCACCCCTATTTTACCCAAGAGGAAGCATGGCTGGGAAACTAAGTCCTTGTCCCAAGTCACACAGCACGCGAGCTGCCGGGAGACCCGACCGTCGGTGCACACTCAGCTACCACCGCGGTTTTCTAACGCGCACAATGGTTTCCAGACAACCCAGAGACAAGTTTGAATCATGCTGAATCTCTTGTCCTAAGTGAAAATCGTTCCTCTAATTTCTAGGGAACCAAGTCTTCCTAGAGTGACAAGGCCAGAGAGTGACGCCTGCCAGCTGCAGACAGAGCCTCCGGCCCTCAGCACACCCGGGAGATACCGGGAGGCCCGAGGCCGGGAGGGTGGCAAGGCTGAGGGCTGTCTTGGCGGCAGGGACGCGGCGTCCGTAGATGGAACTGTCTGGCTCCAGGAGCTTCGTCCTTGCCGAGCCTCAACGCCCGGCCACGCCCCTGCTCCGTTCTAACCGGCACAGGCCAGACGCGTCACCGCGCCAGCCGCCCCTCGACACTGCCACGTTCCAGGCGCTGCTTTGTGCCCGGAGGCCTCTCCCCTTGTGGTAGATGGAGTCAGAAAACAGATGGAGGCGCTGCCCCGGCGAGCTTAGAGATGAATAGAAGAGACATATTAGAATCAAGTTGCCCTTGTCGGTGCTATAAAGGGGAAGAAAGACGGAGACAGACGCACGGGGAGAACGGGGC